TTTGATTTTACCGACAAAGGAGAAAGTCATCCTTATTAGGACTCTTCAGCAATAAATGGAAATTCTCGTCATTCTCGACTCGTCTCTAATGGAGTCTGAAAGTATACAAATTTCGATCGAACTCAATTACGGCGGGTTGAGCATGAGTAGATGCGAAAGTGGTATCGCCATCTATACTTAGTAAGCAAAATCAAAAATTATCCACGATGGTTTGCGTTCGCGCCTAGACTTTGATATATTTAGTGGATGTCCATGGGATATTAAATACACCTTAAAAAAATTAATTTTAAATATCTGAACGGTACTATTAGCCACAATGGCGTAATTTTTTAATAATTTGCTATATAATTACTATTATTTATGGACATTTGCATGTCTATAAATTACATTTCATGGATATAAAATAGATATTTACCATGGACTGGACATTTAGTGGATATTGGGATGTCCAGTAGATATCCAAAGGATTTGGTGTGCTGTCTGGGTTGTACCCTCTTAGGTAATTATTTCGACGTCAATTCGCCAGTTGGTTACCTTACTATGTTGCTTTCACATATACTTTGTTTCAAACCTAGTAGAATGGGTGACTTAGTATAAGGTGCCCCCCCCTTGAGCTATCGAACAGTGTCCATTTACCAGTTCGTTAACTTACTGTTAAATTTTACCATCTCGGTTTGTATAATTTATCCAAAATAAAATACATCCCTTCATATTTCTAAAGTATTGATTTTTATAATTTGTATTGAAATACTCAAATTTAACCCTGTATATTTCTAAAACATTGATTTTTATAATTTCTATTGAGATGGCTTAAATTCATCCATCGAAAAACAGATTAACCTGTCTTTCGGGGTGAATGCCCGAAAACCATGTGGTTTATTGGTTACATTGATAATATTTTGAAGAAAATGTCAGGCCTTTATTTTGGGTGGAAAAATGGGTGTGGTAAATTTATTATGTGCATTGAGAACTTCTCGGAATTTTGTATCGAAATATTATCGAAAATTGGTCTTAACATCAAAATTAGAAATATATGCGAGTTAACTGTTTTAATGATTACTTCGTGAAAGGAGATATGTTTATGCAGGTTTTTGGATCGGATTCTCATGGGATAACTTTTTAACTTTTCTGTAATATTAGAGACACCGCGAACAGAAATATTGCTTTTATTTATAACGAAGATTTTTCGTTGGAATTTAATAAAAATGTAACTTTTTTTAATAAAATGGAATTAATAAATTATGAAGGTACCTGGGTGAGGTAGGTTACAGTACCCCAGTATAGGTATCAATCAGTATTGGCACTCTGAGGCGGTACGTTTGATCTTTAAAAGTAGAAATTTTAGTTGACGCTTGACGTTTTCAGGATATGAATAGTTTTCTTTTCACGGACTCTGTTACATCTGGTTAGTTTAATTATCGTTCTGCAGTTGAATAGAAAAATCCTGCGCAGTAGCAATGCCAAAAGGACCTAAGCGTGTATCTCGGTTACTATTGGTCAGATTTAAACGATGAAAACGTCATTATGTAGAGAATATGGTATAGATTACCGTTGAAGAGAAAAGTCCTGCTTAGTAGCAATGCTAAGAGGACCTAAGCGTGTATCTCGGCTATTATTGGTCAGATTCAAACGAAAAAAACGCTATTATGTTGAGAATTCGGTATAGATTAACGATAAAGAGAAAAAATCCTGTGCAGTGGCAATGCCAAGAGGACCTAGACGTGCATCTCGGCTATTATTGGTCGGATTTAAACGGAAAAACGGAGGAGTGGGGAAAATTACCGATGAAGAGAAAACATATGCGCAGTAACCTGCGCCTATTATTGGTCAGATTTAAACGAGGAATGGGGAGCTTGCTCGCACCAACTATTGAGTTTTAATTATTATCGAGATGTCAAGCGAAGAAAATAGACGTAGAATTGAACAGTTTGATAAAAGAGTTAGAGATATAAAATTATATGAAGACAGAAGGGAAGTTTTACAAGACCTAACAAATTTAGAGACGTTCGCACATGACGTTGATAATGTCATCTATCAAACATCATAGTGCGTTCGATGTTTTTCGACGTTTTAAACGCTATTGCCATTGTCAACGTTGTTCGACGTTTTTTCAACGTTTTTCAACCTTTTGTTCGTCCTTGTTAGTCATCGTCATACTCTTCGTTCCTTATCGTACGTCCTCGTTAGTCATCGTCGTTGTCTGGAGAACTGAAGGATCTTCGTTTCGTTGTCGTACATCGTCGTTAGTATAATAGTCCTTGGATATTATTAACAAGGTAACAAAATACTCTTCGTTCATTGTTGTACGTGATCGTTAGTCATTGTCCTACTCTTCGTTTATTATCGTACATCATCGTTAGTCACAGTCGTTGGATATTAATACAAAATACTCGTCGTTCATTGTCGTACATCATCGTTAGTCAGAGTGAAGATATACACTTAGGCCCTTTTGGCTTTGCTACTGCGCCTAATTTTTCTCTTCGGCGTTAATTTACGTCACGTTTCCGTTACAACGTCATTTTTTTCTCGTTTGATTCTATTCGATAATAGCCGATACTTGGGTCCTTCTGGCTTTGCACATGGTTTTTCTCTTCAACGTTAATCTATGTTGTGCCTCCTACACAGAGCCGTTTGTTCCGTTTGAATCGGACCAATAGCAATAAAGACATGTACTTTTAGTATTATTGCTACTGCGCCTAATTTTTCTCTTCAGCAATAATCTACGTCACGTTTCCGTTACGTCATCATTTGTTCACAAAATTACATTCTCCTATAAAAATCGTCTATCAGAGTATTGATAAAGCCGCCGGACGACGGTCTACTGTATTTAAAACATTAAATGCCGCCGGAAAAAACTCGCGTATCGGTGATAACACTTATCATTTGTAATTGCTGTGGTGGGAGGTGTTTGTGTGAATGCGTCTTGTTTGTTTTCATTTACGCCGTGACTAGCAGTAGTATTTTATAAACCTTAGAAGCTAGTTTCACATACATGAATAAATAATAATAATAATAATGCCGTGACAACAAGAAGACGAAGTAAAGACTTATCGTAGGGTGGCGGCTTCGCCGCCACCATAAAATTTCAATCCATACCTGGCTACGCCGACCGGCATAAACACCGACGGCCTGGACACAGCTCATCTACTCTGTCAAAAAGAGACCGATGTACAAATAAAACGCGTACGACATTATGATCATTTGCCACAAAAATGTAGACGATTTTACAAATATTTTTTCTTAAGACCGGGATTCAATGTTTTAAATACAGTAGACCGTCGTCCGGCGGCATTTTTCAATTCCCTGATAGCATGCCGCCCTGATCAACAAATCAGTTTAGATTTGCGGCGGTTTTCTTATACAGTGTGTCTACTTAAGTTGGAACCATATGGAAAACATTTTTATTATTGATTTTAGGAAAAAAAGTTATTCCTGATAAAAAGTCCTGCATGACCCAAAACTTAAAATACAGTCATCAGATATCAAATTTTTCAAGCCGTATACGAGGTTTGTCAAAAAATATGAATTTTGCTCAAGAGTAAAGTATGTTTATTTTTTTACAAAATCGAAAATTTTCATTAAGAAATTTGCTAAATTCTTCACAAACATCAACAAAAGGAAAGCGTATCATGTTTATAGTAGCTAACGTAATTTATAACGTTTTCAGATATTTACAATCAATGTGTAGAGTGTATAAAAAATAAGAAAATCTGTTTTTCAGATAGATCGGTGTAATTGCATATTTGAATGTAATATTCAATTCTAATCAACTTTTCTTAATGAAAATTTTCGATTTTGTCAAAAATAAACGTACTTTACTCTTGAGCAAAATTCATATTTTTTGACAAACCTCGTATACGGCTTGAAAAATTTGATATGTGATGACTGTATTTTAGGTTTTGGGTCATGCAGGACTTTTTATCAAGAATAACTTTTTTCCTAAAATCAATAATAAAAATGTTTTCCATATGGTTCCAACTTAAGACGGTTTTCTTTTCAACAAATGCAAGCACCGCCGGCGGTCCGTTAGCCAGTATGAATAAACAACGTACAAAATGCCAAGCCACGTTGCCACATCTAGCATAAAATACTTGATATCCAACTTAACATTAATGAGGTTTTGGAATTTATTGAAAATTATTACTTCTAATTTAGTGAAATTACATTTAATTTATCTAAATTTGATATAATTAATGGTTCAATTTTTTTTTATTTCAGTTGCAATAAAATAGGCTGAATTATTTTATTTATAAGCGTCCCAATAGGAATTCTTTGCGATGTTGTGTTTCGAGAATATTGAGAGTTTTAAATTTTTGTAACGATAAGGTAGCACTCTACAGAAATTTAAGAAAAAAAAGGTGGGAAACTCCTCTATTTAAAAACTACTTGATATTTATTAAAACGAAAAGCATCAAATTTTCATAGATTTAATATAGAATTGGCGAGTATTTTTATTTTTAAATTCCTTTTAAAAATTTTCAAAATACCTAAATACTTTTCCAAGATTTACAAAATAATTAAGAAATCTCCACCATAAGTTTTGTTATTTGGCATTCTAACGACTTGTCAAACAATAGCTGCCAGCGGGAAGGACTCGTAAGTCTAAGGGGTTGCAACATAGCCTTCCATCTTGGACGCTATTTTTATTTGAAATAGTAGTCGCCAAGCATGTCAATTTATAGAAAATGTATAAGTTGTTTTTTTTTTAATATTTTCATTTAATATTTAAATTTAATCCATTATTTATGATTTCACATATTGTAGACAACTACATCGTATGTCGCAACCCTTTAGACATACCAAACCTTAGCACCTCGTTTCATTTGTTTGTAATTGGTATTTCCTGAAAAGTTCACAAAAATCGGACCAAAAATAAAGGCCCAAAAGGAATTTTAAATTTTCAAGCTGTTCGGTTTGCTCTTAAAATCATGAACTTCAATATCAAAAAGTTTTTTTTGGGTCAAAAGAAACGACTAAACAAAATTAAATATTTTAATTTCAGGTAACAAAATAAAAGTCTTTTAACATAAAAAAAAATGTATAACATTCATAAACATCAATATGATTGAATCTGATTTAATCTAGATTAACAAAAATCAGAGAAAAAGGTACGCACATGCATATCTTACATTATGTAGAACCGACATTTTGTTCTTAAAAATAATATGTATTTCTAAAAAATATTGTATATATGCCGGTCAGTTTCTTTTTAAACCTAGAGTGGCTATGGCTTTAATAAAAGTGACATAAAGCACACAAAAAAGAAATAAATATCGTTGCCACGTCGCTTTACGTTTTTTACGTGTTTTACAATTTGTGAATCTCATATTATATCATTTAAAATGTTAACCCAATTAAGAAGATATAATGCTAAGAAATAGAATTGACAAATGTTTTCAAGGTCAGCTTTCAATCTTATCCATCATGATTCGAAAGCACTGAAGCGGTTGACAGTTCATCGTCGAATTTGTTTTATTTAAGACAACTTGGTGACGCTCAAATGATAAAAATGACATGTCTTAGCACTAGTGATGGGCAAAATCGAAAATGTATTCGAATGGGATGGTCACTCAAATGGTAAAGGTTTCTCGCAATTATAAGAAGAGATGTGCTCAAAGGATTTTTCTCTAAAACTGGAGAGTTGATAATATGCACCAAAATAGATTGATAAAAAAACTTTGATATGCTTAATTTTTAAATGCATTTATATTTATTTCAAATTATAAATATATTCCTATTTTACTTTTTTGTAAGATTAATTTATTTTTGTTTCGTAATAAATGTTATTATTTAGTGTATGTAGTTCTTAAAACCACTATGTATCTACACTATACTCAATAATAACGAAAGTACATCATCATCATCGATTTCATCAACGATATCCGTCCGTTATACGCATACTATTATCAAAAATAAAGGGTTAAATATGACCACTACCCCCCTCTTTTTTTCACAAAGAAAGGACATAATTTTATAAAAATGTCCCATGGCTCTCGGCGGCCCTGATTACCATCCCCCCCCCCAGACTCTGAATGCGCCACTGATTGAGATAGAATTAAGAGGAGATGCTATGGCTAAAGTATCCTCACCTTTGCATTACATTTTTACGTCATGTGTCAAACTCGAGATAATGGAGCTAGTCAGTTTTGGTGATAATAAATGCCATTTTTTTAATAGCTTCATTTAAATGTTATAAAATAATTTGCATTCCTTTAGTCTTCAAATATAAAATTATTGTTTATAAATAAATGAAAGTACGACTCAAGTCGCCATTTTCATTATACTTTTCCGTCATGCGCTAGTTCAGTGTGATGTCATTTTGGTTCCACTGACATTTAAGTCTAACCAAACTTTTAAGGAAAACATCAATAAATTTGACATATACGTTATTACAGTTTTTAGTTTATTTCTAAATATTGTTTACAATATTGTTTACAGGTCATAAAAATAGTTGAAATGTATGTAAATTGGTAACTTAACGATTGTATATTTGATGCATGTTATCTACTTACTTTAGGAATATATTTATAAAAGTGAAAAAACGATATAATTTAGGTAAACAAAACGAACAAAACGCACTCAAAAAATTACTTTCACTTTAATTGTCAGTGGAACCATAATTACATCACTGAACCAGCGCATTGGAATGACAGGCGTACATCTGTCATATCGCAAAATAGTGTTTATGTCTTCTCTACTTTATTCTATCTCGATGCTTATACGCTAAAGTAGTGATGACATATTTTGGTTCCAGTGACAATTATATTGACAATATTTTTTTGAGTGCGTTTTGTTCATGTAGTTATTTTACGTACAGTATATAATCATTTAGTAACCAATTACATACCTTTAAACTACTTTTTATAATTTTGACATATAAAGTGATATTTTTGTAATTGCAGCAAGTGCCAACTAGTTGTATAATGTTAAACATTATGAAACTAGTTACGAAAAATTCATTGTCACCAGTTGTGAAAAGAACACAAATAAAAATAAATCTTTTTTTGTTTTAAAATCGTTATATATCAAAGAAGGACAAGCTGAGATAAAAAAATTAAATTTGGTAAAGTAATAATGTTGATTTGGTCTTTATTTTCCATTCTAAATCAGCACAAAACAAGTATAACCCACTTTCTTAAAAACTAAATAACTTTAACAAGCACACTACAAGTCGTTAAGAATAAATTAATTTGTTTTCTATTTGTCAATGAAGTTAGGCACATGCAACTAACAATACAAGAAAGTAATATTGGTTGCCTAGATATCAGTAATTTTTTACCAAAACACAACAAACTCGTTTAGGTTACGGGACCTCGCTCTGCTCGTCCCAAAAATATTCACTAGTTACATAAAATAAGGCATTTCCTATCTGGTTGCATAAATAGCTATTTTATGACCTGCAATTATTTAATAAAAAAAAATAGAAACAGTAAAAAGTAAAATATTGTTAAAACTGGTTAGGATTCACTGACAATGGAACCAAAATTACGTCACTTTTATGGTGTATTGGAGCAAGGATACTTAACTTTTCTATTAGGATTGGCCACTCCCATGTATGTCGTTTCATTGTGCTACGTCATTGCCGGACCAGATATTTATAAATTGTTGTGTTGTTTATACGTTTGTACATGGTTTTTAGTATTTTTTGGATTGTTTTTGTAACTTTTTAATTGACTGGACTTTTTAAAGTGTTTTTATATGAAGTATTTTAATAAATTAACTTAGTTTTATTATAGGTAAGTTCTACAGTGGCAAAAATGATTGTTTTTAACTAATTATAGTGTTATTTTTTTAGGGTTTGAATGTGCCAGACAGACGGTGGTCAGTAATTGTAACAGCCGTGTGAAAACAAAATTAGATAACCCAGATATAATTTATCATGATTTCCCATTGGGAAAACATTTTGTTTCACACGAAATAAAACAAGAGTGAACCCCACAACAATCCAGATTTGTTTTGTCCATTTTATCGGCAATGATTATGAAAGAGATCTTTATAATGAATTATTGGGCAATTGCCAGTGAGGAGGCGATTAAAGAAAACTGCAGTCCCTACTTTAATTTTTGGGAATAATGAAAGTGAAGATAAAAATAAGGTGGATGATTGTTTAAAAGAATATACTAATTTCCGCACATTTAGAGGTTAATGAAAGCAGCACATTGAAAGCGAAAACACTGTCGTTAAAAGTGTTAACCGGGAGCAAAAATATAATAAGATTAAAGATGATTTTAAAATTATAAAAAAAGAAAAGGCCATTATGTTAACACAAGTAAAGCAATTACATTTTAACTAAAGCAAATATCACAAACTATTGAAACAAAATAAAGAACTAAAGGCAAAGAAAAATGTTTTTACCAAAAACCAAATGGACTTATTCATAATAAAAAAAAAAAAGAAAAAGAAACGTATTGACATTTGAAGAAGACGCATCTGCTTTTACCTTGCGGTTTTAGAGCAAAAAAGGCACATCTGTATGTAAAAAAGCAATTACATTTTCCACTTCCTGGTTTGTCTTCTCTAAGACGATGGGCTAATAAATTTTACAAATGGAATCTTAGTGTACTAGAATTTATGCAGTTGGACGGAGAATCAATAATGAACAATCTGTATTATGTGTACTATTTATGTACTAAATGTCAAGAATGCAGCAATACTGGCCAGGAGAAAAAAATGTTTGTCGAGGAATACGTGTAAACGATCTTTTTTGCTTTTCGGTCATCAACCTAATTTTAATTTGTGTACTTTTTATGTACTGCGTGTACTATTTGGGGCACAAAGTGTATTAGGGTACAACAATTTCCCAGTGGTTTACCTCTACACTACACTAAAATAGTAATGCGTTAATGATCGGTGCAATAACAATGGAGTAATTAATACTCCGATGATATTAAGAAGATAGTACATATAAATTGTCAATTAGTTTAAGTTTTGTTTGTATATTTATTTTTGTATTAAAATACTTTGACTTGTCCTGTACATAAAGGATCAATAAAAAATTATTTTTTTCAATTTGTGATACTTGTATTTTTCGTATATATTATGTAGGTATTTCATTGGTAATTTAATAAAGATATGATTGATTGTTTTTAAATGTGCTCTGAAAAATATTGTGCCATCATCGCCCACAATTATTTCTTGTAACGTGGTCGTTGAAAGCAGATATACCTATGTATTGTTGGTACGGGAATTCCACGGTTTACATTAAAAAAAGCGTTTATTACATGACATTCATTACTGCTATTCCCATTTTACACGAAATATAAGCCAGAGTAGTTTATAATCGTGTTAATTTTTAAATTCGCACATTCAATGGTCCGACAACTACGTCATTTTCCCGAATACTTTCGATGATACACGATGCATTGAACAATCCTATAGAGTCAAGTATCCTTGTATTGGAGATTCAAGCTAAACAATACTCTGGGGGTAGGTATATTTTACGTTATTAAAATTGTAACAATGACCACTTTATTTAAGTGGCATTCAAAAAATATAATTAATGTCGAATGTCATAATTTCAGGGACAAAGCTAACCACGGTAACAGCGGTAATCATACGGAAATCTTAAGTTGACACTAGGAATAATGTCTTCAAGTTAAACTTTACCTATTGGTTCAAAATTCTATTACAAATTAATTAATTGATATGACAACACTGTTGGACGATTTAGAGCTCATTCCACCGTTTAAATTACTAAACGAAGATTAAAATGTCATTTTTACATAAACAATGTCATTTTAATCTTCGTTTAGTAATTTAAATTTTGTTTAACAGAACGGTGGAATCGGCCCGTACTTACAAGGAGCGGTAAAATTAATTAGAAACGCTAATACATAGATGATTCGAATTATTATCGATTATTCTTCATTCGAATACTTTCAGTGATAATCGAAACATTAGAATGATTCAAATTAGACATTCCAAACAAAATAGGTGCCCGTGGATAATAACAGGTTACACATAAAATCAAAGTATGTGATAAATGACAACACTGTGGGCCTGGTGATTTGATAAAAATGGGTATTCGTAGTAAAACATTCCATGCGCATGCTGGCTCGTGAATATACAACAAGAAGACGAAGCTACACCGAACGGCATAGACTCCAACGGCCTGGACACAGCTCAAATTGAAATGAAAAGTCTCACATAACACATTATATTCTCGTATTATCATCTGCACATGAATAATCATGGAATGTGTTACTACGAATACCGCCTCCTGTGATTTGACAGGGTCAATGATATAGATAGTTATATAATCATTCATGTTTTTCAAAATAAACATAAGCTTATGCCTTAAAGTAAAAATGTAGGTAATTTTTAACCTATATATCAAAGGCTCAAAATTAGTTTTAAAAAACATTTTTGCTAAACTGATTTTGGTTGATGAGCACTTGCAAGGCAATAGGGGCGCTCGCAATGTAACTCGCATTGAGCAGTCTATATAACTGCATATGTATCATTGACCCTGTCATCGACAACAGGTCCACAGGGTTGCCTTATCATAAGCAGCATTTTGACAGGTCGTTGGAATGCCTAATAATCGGATGACCAATTATTTTTAATTCGAACGATCCGAACACTTTTCGAAATAATATTTATATTGTAGAAATTTTCATAGCCACCCTGGATTTAAAACAAACATTTTGTGAACACGCGAACATTTTTCACGTCGGCAAAATTACAATATTTTAAATAATCGGTTTTATTTCAGATCACTTAAAGGTCTCACTCTGATAGTGGACGCGTTAGTAGCAGTATCACTAGTTGGCGTTATGGCACTATCAATTTGCATACCGTCTTTATAATTATCAGTCATGTTGTACGTTGGAACGTTGCTAACATCAGGTACAAAATTCCGATTATAATAATTCGACCTACTTGGTATATTTACATTTTGATTGCTATTTTGGTTGTAAGCGTAATAATTATTTACAAGGCTAGGGTTATAACTATTAATATGATTATAGGGATGAGGAAGAGCATTTTGAGCGTTTCGTTTTTCGGGTTCGGGAGGTATTCTTTGATGGTGTATATTATATGGAGGAGGAGGTGCTCTTACATCTTTATACATCACAGGGTTTTGTCGATTTTGAGTCGGATACCAAGTCTTATTGCTTCTAAATATTTGAGGCTGTTGATAATTCATGTAATTTTCGAAGTAACTAGTTTCAAGTCCATTGATTCTCTCTCCTGCAGTAGTGGGATAGACAGTCGTCTGATAATTACCAGTACTAATTGCATTGGGTTGTACATGTGTATCCATTTGTTGGTACACTGGATTTTGTTGGGGCTGAACCACGTAATTCGTTTGAGGGTTATTTATTAACTCATTTGGATACGACTGGTTACTGCTTGTACTTTCAAATATACCACTGTCGCTCGATGGGGTTACCCTTTCTGCACATACGAGATCATTCGCGAATAATTCTATATCTCCAAGATCTGGTAAAGTTTCGGTAGCTTCTACATTTAAAGACGTTTTTGTAATAACGGAGTCACGCAGTTGATTAATTTGAATAGAATTTGAATCAATGTTTTGGCTCGTGCTTGGCCTAGAAACATTTAATACATTCTGACAAATGTTTTCAACAGGGAAGTCTAATGCTTCTCCAGGATTTGGTACACTTGCAGGTGGTGCCAAATCAGTTATATTTGGAATGTCTTTTTCGATTGGTGTAGAAACCTGTTTTCTTACTATAGTTGGAGATTTAACAACATCAATAGGAGTTAGATCGTCCCAATCATCGAATGTCTTTTTTCTTTTTGGAGGCTCTTCGAAATTGTAGTTTACATCAAAACTTTTCTTATAATCAATGGATACAGGTATTTTATACAAATGTATGTAAGACTTTAAATGGTCCAGTGAAAATGAATTGTTTTGAGAATGGATAGAATCTTTCTTCGGACACATTTTCCAGCTTGATATAACGTTACCGAGTTCTGGACTTTCAGAAGACAGTTCGGTTTGAGAATTCTGATCAACTGGAGATTCATTTTTATCATAAACTAGTAACCGTTTTAAAATATCGGTTGTTTTAGATGTGTAATTGATGTTGGGGAAATTACTGTTTTTAATTTCCACTTGAGGGGTCAAATTTAAAACGAGGTTCTCCATTTTAACTGATGGCTCTTCAGTTGTATCTAGTATTTCGATTATATTATTTGAATGAGTTTTTGCAAGATCGCTGAACACCTTGTGGTACTGTCTTTTAATATCTACATTATGCTCTATGTTTTCGAGTAAAACATACACAGGTACTTCAACTTCCTTCTTTATTCTGCAGGTTTTCAAGTGAGCTTGGCCTATTTCTAATGTCGTAAAAGATTCTCTACAGAAATTGCAAGTAAATTCTGGTTCGTTTTTCGAACTAGAATATTTTGAAATTGTTTGTTTTGAAGCCGAAGCTTTCGTAAATATTGGTTTTGGCTGAGATTCGATATTCGATTTTCGAGGATTCAAAACTTTTGTTATTTTAAATTCTGATATGGCTTTTATCGGATTTAAATATTCATCAACCTCAAAAATGTAAGGATCTGGGATTGTTTCAACGGGTTTAGATGTAGCAGGTATTGCATTTGGCACTAATGAGATACTAGGGGTAGTTTGAAGAGGTGGACGCTTGTCACTTTTATCTAAATTAGATACAGTTTCAGTACTTATACCAACAGATTCTGTAGATCTGTTAAGTTCGATTTTCGAAGTAGAATATTTCGAAATTGTTTGTTTTGAAGCAGAAGCTTTCGTAGATATTGGCTTTGGTTGAGATTCGATAGTCGATTTTTGAGGATTCGAAACTTTTGTTATTTTTAATTCTGATATGGCTTTTATCGGATTTAAATATTCATCGACCTCAAAAATGTAAGGATCCGGGGTTGTTTCAACGAGTTTAGCTGCTGCTGGTATTGCATTTGGCACTAATGAGATACTAGGGGTAGTTTGAAGAGGTGGACGCTTGTCACTTTTATCTAAATTAGATACAATTTCAGTTCTTACACCAATAGATACTGCAGATCTCTTATGTTCGGTTTTTGAATTAGAATATTTGGAATTTGTTTGTTTTAAATCAGAAACTTTCGTAGATATTGGCTTTGGTTGAGATTCGATATTCGATTTTTGAGTATTAGAATTGTTTGTTATTTTTAATTCTGATAAGGCCTTTGTCGGATTTAAATATTTATCAACCTCAAAAATGTAAGGATCTGGGGTTGCCCCAACGGGTTTAGATATATCTGGTATTGTATTTGGCACTAATGAGATACTGGGTGCAGTTTGAAGAGGTGGGCGCTTGTCATTTTTATCTAAATTAGATACAATTTCAGTACTTACTCCAATAGATTCTGCAGATCTGTTACGTTCGTTTATCGATTTTTGAGGATTCGAAACTTTTGATATCATAAATTCTGATATGGATTTTATCGGATTTAAATATTCATCAACCTCAAAAATGTAAGGAACTGGGGTTGTTTCAACTGGTTTAAATGTAGCTGGTATTGCATCTGGCACCAATGAAATACTAGGGGATGTTTGAAGAGGTAGACGCTTGTCGTTTTTATCTAAATTAGATACAGTTTCAGTACTTATACTAACAGATTCTGGAGATTTCGTTGCGATTTGTAAATCTGTACTTGGATAAAAAAAACTTTGAATTGGAGTAAAATGCCGAGAAACCGTATTAGTCTGTACAAAACGAGGCTCAACCGTACTGGTATTTGGTACTATTGGTCTTGATGGAAATGAATTTGAATTTGGAATAAACTGTTCAACAATTGTCCTCTTGGGTAAAACAGTAGGATTAACATGAATATTTGTAACAAAATTTTCATTTGTAGGATGTTGGCGTCTAGTTACATTTGTTGGAAAGAAATTTGAATTTGGAACAGACTCTTTAATAATTGTGTTCTTGGGTAAAACATGACCATTTAAATTTGGTACTAAATTTACATATGTATGCTGATGAGGTCTAGTTACGGTTTGAGGACGAAAATTTTGATTTGGAATAAGGTGTTTAACAACTTTGTCCTTAGGTAAAATAGGAAGGTTAACTGGAATTATACTTGGTATTGAATTTTCATTTATATGATGATAAGGCCTATTTAAAGTTGGGGAAACGAGACTTGGATTTGGAATAAATTGTTTATTAACGGCATCGACAGGTGCAGAATGAGACATGCCAGTATTTATACTCGAGCATGACCCTTCTGTAATAAGACTTTTCTTTAAAAACTTTAAATGGTCCATAACTCCTGGCTTTGGATGATTGTTTGTGTTATTGATCCTTAAGTAATTGTCATCACAGCTTGTTGAACTTAAATCGTTAAATGTAGACGAGTTTATTGCAGTATTCGGTACGATTTCCTTAAGTTTTTTATTGCTGGTATCATTAACATTATGATAAAGTATTGATTTATCAGCTGGTTTAATAAGAATATTCGAGATAATTGCGGGAGATCTTTTGGTGGGTGTAAGCGGCACATTTTGTTTTTCCGATACCTCTAGGGCTTCCAATAAAGTGGCATCTAAATCAGAAGGATCTGGCCTACTATTGAACTCAATAGGACCTATTGATTGTCTTCTATTCGGAATAGTTAGCGCAGAAGATGAATTTTTGGTTGGAGATCTTTTAGAACTACACGATTGTTCGCAATCGGATAATTGTCGTTTTCTATGATTTCCTAAATGCTTCAATGAGTTATTCGAATCTGTGGATACCTCGTCGTCATTTTTATGAACTATTTCGTAACTTGACTTATCTTGCCTAAATTTAATGCTTATTGGTGATACGGTTTCGTTAGAATTATTGCTAGGGTTTTTAGATTTTAATGCAGCGTTAATAGCCCGTTGTTTTTGCTTATCTTGTCGCAAAACTTGAATAACGTGCTTCTGGAAATCCAGGTTTTTCGATTTGAAGTGGTTCTCTACTTCGTCCATCCGCATTTCTACGACTGGGCTGATATCTTCGGACAAACATATTTCTAAATCTGGTATCAATATTCGAGGGTATTTCTGGAATATGTTCAATATACTTCGATGCGGTTTCTTCTTTTGTGTCCTTTGTTGTTCCTGAAACAAAGAAATTCAAATTTAGATAAGCGTACATCTAACGGATTTAAATACGACTCATTAGAAAATAGTAGCAAGCACATTGATTTACATTCAACAATTCGTCATTAAGGCAGCAGTTGAAAAAGATCCGCAGTGGGATTTTCATTTTCCAATACAACACATCTCGAGACGCCTATCTTCGTTCAACAGACAGCGATTCTTATGTAATGTCTCTCTCGATTCAACATGTAACGTGTCGAGTTCGCACATAAGAATCCCTGTGCTGATCAGAGATGAGAAACGTTCAATTACTTTTTATTAAAGTATTTAACTCAAAACAATTTTCTCCAAATGCTACTTGTTTCCGCTAGCGAAGGTCAGGTCAACGCGTTGAGTGGATATAAACCACCGATGCCAGTTTGTATTAAAATTCTGATATGTCTGCATTTTTTTGTATATATAGAAATAGGTATGATTGACACAAAAATTTTAAGAATAATGCAAATAATATTTCAAAAATAAAGGTGAAGAGTTCCAAAAAAGAACACCTATAATTTCAGAAACAATATTAAATAAATAAAAAAAATATATATAAATAAATAAATAATAAATAAGGGATATATAAGAGAATACTACATTTCTTTTGGCACATAATTTTTTATTGAAAAACGCACTGACTTGGTTACGGTATGTATCGTTTGGTATGTTATTTTCAAAACATACGATAAAATATTCATTGCAATACAAGCAACCATTCGAATTGTATATTATTGTATAGTATATTTCTACGAAACACTAAAAAAAGTTTTTAAAAAGTAATTTAGAGGTTTTAACAAAATAAATATTTAAAAAATAATTAACACAAGCATTGAATTTTTGGATTTTACCAATTTATAGAATAAACATGAAAAAAAAAAAGGATTTGCATTGGTTCAACCCAAATTTGAACCTCAAACCTTTCGTACGAAAACTCATCACTTAAACTTTCACGATAACTTATCATTTATTTCTCTTTAACATTTATACTTGAATTTTGTTATAATTTCACAAAATTTTTCGGTTTCTTTAACTATTTACGATAAATATCTAGTGGATTGCCATTATTTATCGATTCTTTATAAGGATCACCCATTTTTAATAATATTTTATCCTAATAACAAAAAAATATCACAATTAGTTTGACAAAATTGTCACTAATTTAAAATAAAACAAAATAATTTATGTAAACAAGAGCGTATATGAAGACAAAGTTTAATGCCGTAGGAACTCAAACGTTTGGATCATGCGGTTACTGCAAAAACTTTCGGCATTTTAGAGTTAGGTGTTTGTACCGGGATTGCGTAATAATTCGCGTTACATGCCACGCGAATGCTACAAATTCTATAGCCTCACATTGCAAATAAGCGTGAACCGTCTTGGTATAGCCTCTGATGTGGCACACTTAAGTTTTAAACATCTACGCACCTACAGTTGATGTTAAGCCCACAAGTGAGTGGCCAGAATTGTTGGCTCGCCTGGTTGCTTTAGTTGTTTTATCTCTGATCAGTAGCTTGCACGATTTGAAAAATTTTCTCAAAGCGTTTGTTATAAACTTGTTTTTTTCAGTGTTTCTGTTAAATTTTGATTTGTGTTATACGAGATGCTTTCTGGAGACTTTTTGAGGTAGATGCAGATGCTAGAGTCATAATTTTACATGCCGGAAATAAAAATGGCTTTGTAAGAACTGGTTTGCTGAACAACTTTTACCGAATATTCCAACTAATTTAGTCATTGTAATGGACAATACGCCATATCGTTCCCGGCAAATTCACAAGAAGCCAAGTATTGACTCTAAGAAATCAGATATATCAAAGTATTCAAAAGATAATAACATTGATAGTCCTGCTTCCGTGAAAACAAAACCACAATTGTTACAAATTGTTAAAGTAAGAATATTTCAATACAGTATTATATTGATAATTTTGCAAAAGATGATGGTCATACTGTATTGAGGTTACCACCTTAATATTGTGTACTTAATCCAATTGAATTAGTTTGGTCTTCGGTTAAACAAAAACTGAGACGTAATAATTTTGCACCTACCTTAACAAATGTGATTTGGAAAATATTAATGGGGTTTTTAAAGATCCGTCTTTGACTGACGTTTGGAAAATTTGCATTAATCACGTCCTAAAAAGGAAAAAGAATATCATATTTTACTTTCTATAGCTTCAGTAGTTATATATCCCAACCTCGATTCCTCGACAGATGGTTCAGATTTAGATTCGAATTAACTTTCTTATTTTTCATTATTGGTAATCCGAGAGTCATCAAATTAATTCATTGTTAACATTTTATTAGTTCGTATTCATTTATTTCTTTTAAAAAATTCATTTTTCTAAATTATTTTATAGTTTTGTTTTATTTGCAAATAATTTATTTTCCTTTATGATTTTGCTTTGAAATTTCGTTTTACGAAAAAAAAAAAAAAAAAAAAAAAAAAAACGAATAGGGTACAAAAAGGGATCAGTTTACGTCTGGTACCCTGTTTGAACCAAACGCTTACGCTTTACGTTTTATAATTTAATATTCAGTTGTAGCAAATTAACGAGCTATAATAATGATTTTTTTAAGTTTCAAGTAGGACTACAATTAAGTGCATCTATCTAAATAACGGGTATAACGCCGTCCAATTTATAATCATTTGATCGCCTTTTAACGAATACTTTCTCGTATTTATAAAAATATTAAATTTTTAAAATGAGGTATCTACGCCTGTGACAGATCAAACAAAATTGTCGGTAAGAATTCGGAACGAGTTTAATGGAAGAACTATACATAATTATTAATTTAATTTACTAAATTTTAATAATAAAATTGGTACGCCCATGTGCGCGGTCCCTTTGAAGTCGGTACTAATCGGTTATTCTGCCGTGTTGGATTGTGTCTAGAAAGACTATACACTTGTCTTCAAAATAGTTCAAATAATATACGGCTTAAACAAGACAAGTGTGAACGAAGTCTATATTCATGATAAACAGATGGCCAACAAAAACGAACTCCATATTAATACATTAATACATATGCACAAACAAGATGAGTAGCATTTGTACCGAAATATAATCACAACATTATGTTCAATCGCTAATAGTGTGTCTACCAAAACCAGATAAGGTACATGTAACTTATTTTTGCTAAATGAGTTTATTAATCCGATTCCTAATGTTTCTGTCAAAACAAGATAAAGGCCAGAACAACTATTTTTATGAAATTATTTGTTGAAATACTTCAACATTTTGCCCAAGCCTTTTGTTTTGTCTAGAGCCGTCTCTGGCCTCTTTCGATTGGTCTGAAATCGACATGGTGATTACGTCACCCTTTCTTTTCACGATACAGCTAGCCTTCAAAAATCAATGGATGATAACACATGATGCCCGAATAGCCATGATAAATGAATGATTGGTTAATCTGTAAAGAGTAATTGGCAAGCCGTAACTAGTGGGGATGCTAACGCTCGTCTCTATATTGTTTGCACGTTAAAACGACCAGAAGCACTTCTTAAATCATCGAAACACCAGCTTTTCGCATTGCTTGAAAAACCCAAGCCATACCGGCAGAGGGATGCCTAAAAAAGCGAAAAAAAGGCTCTGAAAATACTTATAAAAAAAGTACCAAATAATATAAGTAATGCCAAGAAAAAAGATTTACTACACCTGATGAATTTCACAATTCTATCTGAGTTAGGGCGTGGTACAAAGCCCACTCGTACTGAAGCTCTAGGCTTATTGTACCCCTCACAGTTTCTACCCCATCAAATTGATTTTCTTAATGAATTCAAGAATATGCCTGAATTATTAATTTTTATTAATTTTTATTAATTTTTATAAATTTTTATTAATTTTTATTAATTTTTATTAATTTTTATTAATTTTTATTAATTTTTATTAATTTTTATTAATTTTTATTAATTTTTATTAATTTTTATTAATTTTTATTAATTTTTATTAATTTTTATTAATTTTTATTAATTTTTATTAATTTTTATTAATTTTTATTAATTTTTATTAATTTTTATTAATTTTTATTAATTTTTATTAATTTTTATTAATTTTTATTAATTTTTATTAATTTTTATTAATTTTTATTAATTTTTATTAATTTTTATTAATTTTTATTAATTTTTATTAATTTTTATTAATTTTTATTAATTTTTATTAATTTTTATTAATTTTTATTAATTTTTATTAATTTTTATTAATTTTTATTAATTTTTATTAATTTTTATTAATTTTTATTAATTTTTATTAATTTTTATTAATTTTTATTAATTTTTATTAATTTTTATTAATTTTTATTAATTTTTATTAATTTTTATTAATTTTTATTAATTTTTATTAATTTTTATTAATTTTTAATATTTTTTATTAATTTTCACCCCCATTTTCCCCCCTTAAAATGTGAAAATCCAAAAACCATGAAACACTTCATTATTTATTTATGATGAGAACATACAATTCCAATTTTTAAGTTCCTACCTTTAAAAAAAATCAATATTTCCAAATAAACTTTTACCCCCCGTTCCCCCCCTTAAAAAGTGAAAATCCAAAAACCCTAAAACACGTCATTATTAATGTGTACTCAGTAGCTGCAATTCCAATTTTCATGTTTTTAACGTTAAAGAGAACCAAAAACGGATACTCCCAAATAAATTTTCCCCCCCATTTCCCCCCTTAAAATGTGAAAATCCAAAAACCCTGAAACACGTCATTAATAATTTGTAGTCAGTAGCTGCAATTCCAATTTTCATGTTTCTAACTTCATAAAGAACAAAAAAAATCGATAGTCCCTTACAAACTTTCACCCTCCGTTTTCCCCCCTTAAAATGTAAAAAATCCAAAAACCCTGAAACACGTCATTATTTATTTATGCTCAGTAGCTGTAATTTAAATATTTTCCCACATGGTTCAAACGAAAATTAAAAAACACTTGTAGCAGAAATATATTACTGAAACATAAAAAGATGACATGTCTAGAAATAT